TTGGTTTTTGGTTTTTCTCCGGTACCGGGAACCGAACTCACGACCTTGCGCTTGCCAGGCAGGCGCTTTTGCCGCTGAGCTAAATCCCCAGCCCCTTTCTTGACATTTTTAACTCGTATGTAAAGTATTGCAGGTCTTGTATACCTTTAACATCCCCTGAGTCTTACAGTTGAGGAAGCAGACCTTGAGAGGAGTAATTCAGTCAGTAGGCTTGGATGGGAGATGTCACAGGGAGTCATCTCCAAGTGAGGGCCCGCCCCCCCCCCCCCCCCCCCCCCCTTCTCAGGCTCTGGATGCCTTATGTAGCATCTTTCTACTTGTTTTGTCCATGGAATGTTCCTACCTATTTCCCTGTGACAATAACAGACTGTGTAATTCACATCATCCGGGACAAATGGCCATAATAAAGTCTGGTATGTGACCATGGAGCAGAGTTTCCCCTCTCTGCAGAGAAAATGGGCCCATTCAAGGTAACATACTTAACCATGAAGCTAATACTGAGCTTCACCGGTGAGCCGGCATAGTAGGCCTTTTCAGGTTCATCTTTTCAAATTGATGACTTGAAAACATAGGATGCTCAGAACCATTACAAAATTTTCTCTTCCCTTGTCATTTGGTCAGGCTTCTCTTGGAAGCTTTTCCTGGAATTCTTTTAGGGAGAGTATGGTGTTGTAATGTTTTGTTTTATTCCACTATTGAGAAACTTAGGGCTCGATCCAGAAAATCTCTCTATATAGAATAGTTCACAGTGGTAGGAGCTGCTTGTCCATGTTTGGAGATTTCTCTTTTTGTTGTTGTTCTCTGTGTTGGTTACTGTCTGGTCCAGTTGTTAGTGTTAATTAGTCTTTCCCAGAATGACTGATTTTTCAATCCATTTATTTTCTGACATTTTAAGCCTGTGCTTAAGTTCAGCTTCATAATCTCTTGGAAAAGACCTACTCAGATTGAATTAAGTGGTAATAATGAACGTTATCTGGGCGTTACTCAAACCAAGTAAATAGAGTATTTTTTATTTTTATATTCCAGTCTCCAAAGTTAGGCTAAGAATAACCTAAACCAGATTTCCCTTCAGGTTGTCTGTGGTCTCATAAATCTACATGATTAGAAATGCCATCCATTCTTTAATGTGACAGCAAACTATCACGTTTGTAATACCTATAAAGTCAGTGCTTTAATTTCCTCTTTCATGGAAGACATAGCTGATAACCTAATGGATCAAATTACTTCTAGGATTTGTTTATAATATTGGAAGGTAAATCATATGTAATGAAATACCTGAAATTACCTTAATTTACTAAGAATTCTGATTTGTGGAAATGTTAAAATGACACAGGAGGCTGACCAAGTCCAAGGGTAAAGACCTTCAACAGATGGTAGGACAATACATTTTTGGATATTTGCACCAATTGTGAGGATCTCAAAATCGCCATTGATGTCTAACAGAAATTTTATTTTAATGGTTAAGAATGATTTGTAGTTAACATTTCAGATCAGACTTCAGCATGATCATGCTTATGTATAGCTCCATAACAAGCTTTCCCTACACTGGTGCTGGACATTGTCCGGCCCGGCTCCGGGAAGAACTTTAAGAGGTTGTGCAGACTCTGGTACATTGTTGCAATTGTCTTTGAAACTAAACATTGCTTAAACTAGTGTAATAATTTGCCTTACACTCAAGCTATATACTCATTGATCAAAGTGTCTCATATCAGTATACTTTTTTTAAAAGAGCTTTATTGAGAGATATAATTCACATACCCATACAATTTCCCCTTTTAAAAGTTTAAATTCAGTGAGTTTTGGTATATTATGTTATTGTTTTAAATTCTGGTAGAATATATGTAAAAAAAATTGCCATGTTGCTAGTTTTTAGATATATAGTTCAGTACCATTAATCATATGGACGATGTTGTACAATCATTACCACTAGCTATTTCTAAAACATTTTCATTAACTCAAGCACAACTTCTATGGGCATTGAGTAATAATATCTCCTTGTTCTGCCTTTCCCCTAGTCCCTGCTAACCTTTATCCTACTTTTTTCTGTCTTGTATAAATCTCCCTATTCGAAATACTAAAATATGTCTCTTTTGGATATTTCTTAGCATAATGATTTGGAAGACCACCCATGTCATGACATTTATCAGAGTATAAATTTTTTTTTCCATGGCTGCAGATCAAACCAAGGATCTCATAGCTTACCCTGTAGCCTCAGCCCTATAATTCTTTTTTTATAGACATACATACAGTATTTTGCTTGTTCATTCATCTGTTGATGGACTCTGAAGTTGACTGTTGTGAATAATGCTGCACTGAGCATTGGTGCACAGTATCTTGACCCATTTTCACTTACTTTGGATGTGTACCTAGGTGTGTAATTTCAAGGTCATACAATAGTCATATGTGTAGCTAACTGCCAGCCTGTATTCTATCATGATTATACCATTTTACATTCTCACCAGCATTATATGAGAGGCTTCCCATTT